AAAAAAAAAAAAAAAAAAAAAAAAAAGAGTACAGACTTCAGACCTGTCTGCCTTTCTTCAAATCTCAGCTCAGTTGCTTATGGTTATGTAACCTGGGATAAGTAACTTTGTTTCTGAGTTTAAGTTTTCTTTTCTTTTCTTTCTTTCTTTCTTTTTTTCCTTTTGAGACAGGGTCATGCTCTGCTGCCCTGGGCTGGAGTACCGTAGCACTATCATAGTGGCTCATTGCAGCCTCCAAGTCCTGAGCTCAAGCAATCCTCCTGCCTCAACCTCCTGAGCAGCTAGGACTACAAATGCATGCTACCATGCTTGGCTAATATTTTTTAAAATTTATTTTGTAGAGACGGGCTCTCACTATGTTGCCCAGGCTGAGTTTAAGTTTTCTTAAGTGTAAAATGGGCACAATTCTGGTGTACCTACTTCACAGAGTTGTCATGAGGATTAAATGAAAACTTCCAGGCACGCCGGGGAATTATTGTAGTGTTAACTAGTATCGCTAGTATCTAGTATCACTAGTCTGTACCACTATAATCTAGGTATAGAAAATGTATTATATTGAGCTGACTCTGTTGACCTTTGTGAAGGCCAGAAGTCGTGAATTTTCAAAAATTTGGTTTCGTTCTTGTCAGTGTATGTACTTGCCAGACCATCGGACCTAATTTTTTTGTTCAGAATACGGACACTGTACCTATGGCAAGCAAGTCCTGATCAATTCTGTTTAAGAACAGTAGTCCCCAATAATTAGCATCTCACTTATGACAATTGATGACAAATGTCTTTCTCTTAAAAGTTGCATGGAGAAGTTGTGTGCAAAAATGTCACATCCTGGTGTCTCTACTGTGTAACCTAGGCGCATAGGTGTCAGTTATGGCTGGCCCTCAGGAGCCATCAGGGAACCGTAAGTGTTTCACACTTCATCTCAGAGGCTCTATTTATGTCCTTTAGTCCTCAAACAACCCTGTGCGGGAGAAAGGGCAGGACCAGAGCAGAGTTCTAACCTCAGGGGAAGAAAGGCGGAGGACAGGGCTGGGCCAGGGTCTCGATGAGGCAGGGCTTGTGCCAGCAGTTGGCCGGGTAGCGAGCGTGGAGGGGGAAAGGCTCTTCCCTTTGCTCATTGTCTGTAAGGACCCTAAGGTGTTGCTTTCACTGGGAAAGAGGTAACCTCTTTTCATCGTAGCCTTGAGAACGGTATCTTCTTTCCCATTCCAGTAAACGGCACCATTTCCATTCTGTTGCTTGGGCCAGAATCTGAGGGGTTGTCTGTCATTCCTCGTGTCGCTCACTCCATTCAGTCCAATCCGTCAGCAGCTCCGTGGGCCCTACCCCTGAGTGTGTCCCAAACGTGTCCATTCCCTCCTCCACCGCCATCACCCTCACCGGGCCTCCATCCTCCATCGCCTGTAATCTGGAGAAAGCCTCTCAACCGATTTCCTCGCTTCCGTGCTTGCTTTCCTATAGTCCGTTCTCGACAGCACAGTGATCTTTTAAAAACGGCACTCGTGGTATTGCCAGAAAGATCTGTCATTCCCCTGAGTCACGTCCTTTCCCATGGCGTGAAGTCCCTGTGCTGTCTGACACTCGCCTTCCTCTCTGACCTCATTCCTCCCACTCTCGCCCAGCCCCGCCGGGCGCTGGCGCCGTGGCCTACTTTCTGCTCTCTGACACATAGGCTCGGTCCTGCCTTTGTGCTTGCTGTTGTCTTTCCCAGGATTCTCTGCCCTGGGATTCTCACAGGGCTGCCTCCTAATTATAGAGGACTTAAATAACAAATACCTGCTGAGGGAGGCCTCCTGGGACCACCCTCGGTAAATAGGCCTTTCCTTCTACCCAGGCACTTTCTGTGACAACACCCTGTTTTAATTCCCTTACAACACTCATATCGCTATCTGCAGTTACTTATTTCCCTATATCATTTCTCTGTGGTGTCTCTAGTGTCTACGATAGCATCCACCCCGAGTAGCCACTCTATCAGTATTTGTTGAATGAATGGCTGTATTACCTTAAAAATTGTTGAAAAGGGGCTGAGTGTGATGGCTCCTGCCTGTAATTCCAGCACTTTCGGAGGCTAAGGCAAGAAGATCACTTGAGGCCAGGAGTTCAAGACCAGCCTGGGCAATATCGCAAGACCCTGTCTCTAAAA